AACTGATTTCCAGGAACGTACTGTACTGACAATTCCTTTGATTCAACCTTCTCCCTTATAAAATGAACCCTTATGTCAATATGTTTTGTTCGGTCATTACTGACAGGATTTTTCGCTATAGCTAAAGCACCACGATTATCACAAAAAATAGGAACAGTGATTTCCTTGTTACATATTTCAAACCATAATTTTCTCAAGAAAATGGCTTCTTTTGCAGTCTCTGACAATGCCATCTATTCCGCTTCTGTGGCTGACAAAGCTACAGTCCTTTGTTTTTTACATCGCCAACTGATAGCTGCTCCTGATAGATTGAACACTGATTCTTACTTATTCGATCCACGTAGAAGTGACAATAACAGGTTATGGACCCAGGATCGTATTATTGATAAGTATAAATAGTAAAAAGTGAAAATGTTATTTAAAAGTGATTGCTTGGACTGACCCTGCCACCAAGACAAAGAGACAAGTTTCATCATGGCCACTTCAAAGCCCTTCGCGAATACTGATAAGCTCAAAGGACAGGAAAATTATAGAGAATAGTGCTGATATTCAAAATGTTCTAGTGATTGAAACTGTGTGGGCAGCAGTCAGTGGATATGCTGCAGACGATACAACTCCCGCATCCCTCAAGAAACAAAAGGACGAGAAAGCCAGATCCATCATTTGTCTGACATTGGAGCCCCAAGTTAAATCTTACGTTGTCCAGACAACTACAGCAAAGGAAGCCTGGGATGTGTTGCAAAGAACATTCAGAGACAAGGGTGTCAATAGTTGGATAAGTATTTTAACTGATTTGTGCTATTTGAAACTTCAGGACTATAAAAGTATGCAGCAATATGTTAATGCCTTCATGTCAATAAATCTTAGATTAGTCTCAATGGGCAAAAAAAAAATAGAAGATGAGCTATTAGCCACTTTAATGTTAAAGGGTTTAACCAAAGAGTATTATCCCATGCGTATGGCACTTGAAAATTCCAACGTGACTTTGACTAGTGAGCTCATTAAATCTAAGCTATTGCAAGATACTGAATTTGGAAAAAATGCAAATTCAGATTCGGCCTTTCTGTCCAGAGAAAGTTTAAACGTGAACCACCAAAATGTCAAATTTGTGGTAAGCTAGGCCATATAAACAAAAACTGTTGGTTTAGAGATAAGGATAAGGCAAACAATAATAATCACAACAATCAACACAACCAAAAATTTAAGGGCAATCAGTCTTCTAAATCAGTTAATAGTACTGATGAAAATAAAGGAGGATCTGATAAAAGGTATAATGAAAATAAATTGAAAAATAAGACCAGTAAGAAATCCATGTATGTGGTATCTGCCTATCATGTTAAAATTAAGGATGATACTTGGGTAATAGACTGGTGCTTCACACAGTGTTTTCGCTCTGGTCGCATGGAATGCGAAGCAGAATGCATGATCTGTACTTCAGGGACATATGTCTCAATAGCCAACAAAGGAAGCGGGGATTTAAAAATTCATATGAAGCCCGAAAAACATTCTAAGAATGTTAGAGGGGAGAGTTCTTCTGCAAAATTAACTAAATATTTCATGCCTAATATCAAAATTGACAAAAATGTATGTGCTGCAGAAGGCACACTTGCTTTCCATACTGTAGCACACCACAACAGCTACAAGTCCATGGCCTGCATGTCTAAATTACTTGCTGTGGAGTCAGTGAAAGGACTAGCTATTGTGAAGTACAACTTTCGTCATTTCAATTGAGTTGCATTTCATTCATACTTGCTGAAACATCCTGACATCTTAAAAGAAATTACGTCAACAGAAAAATATTCATGGTCTGTTAAGATTGGAACATAGCGACTGGATTTCAATTGAACAATTATAGGCCTAAATGTACTGTGGTGACTGAAATTTGATTGCACAATTAAGTGTATTGTTAAAGTTTTTATGCATTCCAAGATTATTATATCAAATAATGAAGTAAGTGACTTTACATTAATTGTTTGAAAGTAAATGACTTTGTATCATTGACCATTGTGTGTATTGTATGTGTTAGGGCTGGTACGGCTCGATTTGTATGTATGGTGTCCTCATTTTTAAGTTTCAAAATATGGCAACCCTTGTATGGTGTCCTCATTTTTAAGTTTCAAAATATGGCAACCCTTGTATGGTGTCCTCATTTTTAAGTTTCAAAATATGGCAACCCTTGTATGGTGTCCTCATTTTTAAGTTTCAAAATATGGCAACCCTTGTATGGTGTCCTCATTTTTAAGTTTCAAAATATGGCAACCCTTGTATGGTGTCCTCATTTTTAAGTTTCAAAATATGGCAACCCTTGTATGGTGTCCTCATTTTTAAGTTTCAAAATATGGCAACCCTTGTATGGTGTCCTCATTTTTAAGTTTCAAAATATGGCAACCCTTGTATGGTGTCCTCATTTTTAAGTTTCAAAATATGGCAACCCTTGTATGGTGTCCTCATTTTTAAGTTTCAAAATATGGCAACCCTTGTATGGTGTCCTCATTTTTAAGTTTCAAAATATGGCAACCCTTGTATGGTGTCCTCATTTTTAAGTTTCAAAATATGGCAACCCTTGTATGGTGTCCTCATTTTTAAGTTTCAAAATATGGCAACCCTTGTATGGTGTCCTCATTTTTAAGTTTCAAAATATGGTAACCCTTGTATGGTGTCCTCATTTTTAAGTTTCAAAATATGGTAACCCTATTAACACCATATGACTGGAAATAAGACCTGTTTTGCAAAATTATAAAAAACATGATTCTAAGGAACATGAGATAAGTCTTGCTGATGATAACGTGTTAACTACTGCAGGTTTTGGTGATGTAAAACTGGTGAATGACAATTTTAGCCATATCTCACATGTATTGCATGTACCAAAATTGTCTGCAAATTTGTTATCTGTGAATTCAATTGTAAACAAGGGTATGATTATGTTATTCACCAAAGACTGTTGTAACTTATATGATTCTGATGATTTTGAGGTAACAGGCAAAGTTCTTGCCAAAGCATATCCCAAAAATGGGATTTATTGTTTAAATACCAAAGCTAACTTGACCCAATCTGCAAATATTGCAACTGAAGATAACATTCATACCAAAGAGAATAATGACAAATGTGAGAAATCTTGTACTAATATTGTAAAGAATGAACAAGTTGCAAGTACCCAGCTAATTGATGAACAACTGTTGTGGTATAGGTGGGGCATTTAAATAGGGTTAGCATGCGGTTGCTTAAAAAAGGTTTAGCTAGTAGCATTGATTTTCAAGAAGAAGATCAGTCAAAGAAATGTGTTCCATGCCCGGAAGGCAAGATGACAAAGAAGCCTTTCCTACAATCAAAGAACAAACGGTCAAAAAGGATACTTGATCTATTACGTTTAGATCTGGTTGGGCCATGTGCCTCTTATGGGAATGCTAAATATTTTTTGACTATTGTGGATGATCATAGTAGAAAAATCTTCATTCATTTCTTGAAACAAAAAGGTGACACATATGAAGCCTTTAACCTTTCAGTTCCAGCCGACGTACATCGCACGTCGGCATTTAAATACCACATCTTGCCAGGTGACATGTGTCGTATGTCTCGTGCAATGCTAAGTTTCAGCTCTTATTTTGAACTGTTGCTTTTCATGTAAAGTAATTCTTTTGGTATGAAATTAAAGAGGAAATTTCTGTCTATCATTTCGTATATTCGTTATCCCACTTTGAACTTCCGGGGGGGGGGGTTACATTTGAAGTCTCTGAAGAAGTTTTGTAGCTCACCGCGTAGGGTGCAGTATTGCCATACAAATCTATCTCCACCTCTTGGAGTAGTTAAGAACTAAATATACTAGGTTGATAGTCTGTGATCTCCCTGCGTGTTGGTCGAAGCAAAATCGATTTCCAGTCAGCCAGTGACGAGTGCTGCCTCTTGAACAGAATGAGAAACCACGTGTAGAACCTAATGACACGAAAGATATGTGACATTGACCTCTGATATGACTGCTGTTGGATATGATAAACAAATGCCTTGTTTGCATTCCTTAAGGTTCCCTTTGTTCCACAAATAGCTAATGCAGTTTGCATGTAGCAGGGATGGCTGGGACAAGCAACAGACGTTCAGCTGTGTTGAGTGACGAGGACTTACAGTGTTTCCTTGAAAGTGATTCCGAACAAAGTCTGTCAGATTCGGATTTTGACACTGAAAATGAGTTAGATGATCGTGCCTTTATTGATGCTGTTGGAAATGAGGGCAGCGATGAAAATGAGCCATGGAAACCCGTGACAGAGGGAGAGATTTATGTTGTCTTGGGTTTGTTCATGCTCATGGGCATCGTACAGAAACCAACTCTTCAGTCGTATTTTACAACAAAAAGAGTAATTTCAACACCGGGATTTAGAGACATTATAACGTGAGACAGACTGGAGCTAATATGTAAATATTTGCATTTTGCCAACAATGAAAACATCAGCACTTTTGAAGGACCAAAAAAACTTTTCAAAATTTACCCAGTAATTTTCCATCTCAATAAGAAATTTCAGGATCTGTCTCCCAAACCACGACATTTCGGTTGACGAATCTATGACACTTTGGAAACGCCGTCTGTCTTTCAAACAGTACCTCCCTCTGAAGGCAGCCAAATTTGGAATTAAAACTTAGGAGTTGTGTGACTCCACCACGGGGTATTTATGGTCATTTATCGTATATAGAGGAAAGGATAGAGAACTTGACTCCCCCTTGATCACAGCAGACACCAACAAAACTTCAGCCATTGTCCTGAAACTGGTACAACCTCTCCTGAATCAAGGTCGGACTCTGTGGATGGATAATTTTTACAATTCTCCAACTCTAGCCAGGCTACAGAAGATAACGCACAAGACCAACAGCGTTGGCACTCTGAAATTGAATCGCAAGAACGTGCCTCCAAAAATGAAAAAAAAAAAAAAACTAAACTAAAAACAGGTGAAATCGTGGCACAACATTCTGGACCCATTTCTATCACAAAGTGGTTCAACAAAAAAATAGTCGCCATGATCTCCACCTATCACAGTCATGACACCAGGACTGTTACAGTTAGAGGCAAGGAGGTGGTGAAACCACTTTCAGTATTGGACCACGATAAGTCAATGGGAGGGGTCGATTTGAAGGACCAGCTGCTTCACTCTTATTTGATCGAGAGGAAGCGTATGAATAAGTGGTACATGAAGCTGTTTCGCAGGCTCCTAAACGCCTCAATTCTGAATTCAATGATAGTGTACAGGAGTAACACTGGCAAACGAATTCAGCAATTAACATTCATAATTCAGTTGATTGAGGGCCTGTTCGTGAAATATGTGAGTGCTGTGGAACATAAAGTGCTGGGTTCACATCCATCAGACAACACAGTGGCCCGTCTAACAGAACGACATTTTATCAGCAAGATTCCTCCAACGGTGAAGAAATCTAGACCACACAGAAAGTGCGTTGTGTGTCAAAAGCGCGGAAGGAGAAGGGACACAGTGTATTGGTGTGATGCGTGCAGCATGGGCCTCTGCATTGAGTGTTTCCGCGACTACCACACCCAGCAGAATTTTAAGGTAATATGATACTATTGTTCATAATTATTATACGCTTAGTGGCCCAAAAATAATTTTTAAGTAGTGTGGATCAATACTCTAATTCTATATACTTCTCTGGACGTTGTGTGAAAATCTGAAAAACAAAACTCCAGTTTTTCCCTGTTTATTACGCTTTAAGTTAAGTGCTGCACTTTCCGATTTAATTAGTTAAACAGCCACCGCCATTGGGGCTGAGTAGTGATTTAAATGCCTTCCGGCGCTGAAAGGTTAAAGAATTTATGAAAATGGTTGAGACAGAAACTGGATTGACTATAAGATCTGTTCGTTTCGATAATGGTGGTGAATCTTGTGGCAAATTATTCAATGACATGTTAAAACAAAAGGGAGTTAAAAGGGAATTCTCTGTGCCATATAATCCACAACAAAATGGAACTGCCGAACGAGCTAATTGCAGTTTTCTGGAAAAACAAGATGTATGTTGTATGATTCCGGCTGCAACAAAAGATTGTGGGCTGAAGCAGCACAAAAAGCCATATATCTTTTGAACAGATCACCTCACAAGAAACCAAAGAACCAATTGCCTGAAGAAATATGGACAGGAGAAAAGACTGATCTCTCCCACATAAACATTTTCGGATGTCCAGCTTATGCTCATGTACCATCAGAGAAATGCCAAAAATTGGATGCTGTGAGCAAGGAATACATTTTTATGGGATATAGTGAGGAAAGTAAAGCTTATCGGTTATCAGATCCCCTCAATCCATCTCAAATAGTTAAGGCAAGAGATGTAGAATTTCTGGAAGAAGAAATTATAAACAAGAAAGAGAGTGAGAAAGGATTTCAGCTTAAACAGGTTCTTCCAGAGTTGTAAAGTTTCCACCTCAACCCACAAGCCGAAAGACTGATTCCGCAAGAACAACACCCCATAGAAGTAACAAAAATAACATGAAGAACCCAATAAACAGCTGTTGGATGATACAAGCTCCTATGCATGACCATTTCCCACAACAGCTGTCATGTTCAGACTGGGCTTGCAACCCCTCCCCCAACCTACAGTCACTTCTGAACCACACGTCTCTTAAAAAACCCTGCTCAACTCCAGATGACATCCCAGGCATACACACCTGTTTTGCAATCCCTGCCTCAAGTCGTGCCACTTCGGCAGGATTAGGCACCTGCAAACCATTCAAGGTGGCAGTACTGGCTTCATTCACATTACCGTTAATACTCTGAGCAGATGCTAAGTGCCGTTTCAACTCCAGCAGCACTGCAACATGAGGCTGCCAGATAGAAGGAGCCGCTCCACTTCCTTTAAGCTTGCGTACCAGATCTGCCTGTGAATACAAAGCCTATCGTACTGTGTCCTAATGAACACTTAATGAATAAACAAGATACAGAATGCATTTCCTGCCTTCTTCCTCATGGGAACTGTGTAATTTTCTTACAATTTACTCTCACCTTTTACTTGTTTTATTCTTCCTAATGCAAGCATCTTTAAGGCATTAAACTGAAGGAGCATCAGCAACATATTCTTCTAAATGTCCAAAGTTCACATTACCTAATTTGGACAGGTCAGCTAGAGCTTTAATTTAATTTAATTTCATTTCATAAGCATCAAGAAAAAGTGATTGCTGCTACTGCTGTGACTTCTCATAAACACAGACACACAAAAACCTTAAAGAAGTCTTACACTCTGCTTCCACATTTACCTGCTGAGCAACGGCGGCTGATAACTTGGCAATTACAGATGGATCTCCTTGGACTTGAGTGGTGACCACATTCACTGTAGAAGTAGCAGGTTTAGAACTAGTAGTATTTACTTCTGGTGATTGTGATTTCTGTCGCCCAGAAAACTGCTTCTTAAGCTGATCCACTCTAGATGGTTCAATCTTGCTGAAGAGTGGAGAAGGCTAAAAATTATAGTAATTATATGCAGTATAAAATATGACATCACCAATCACCAAGTAGCCCGTACAGTATCTATAAATCACACAATACATCCAGTCTTTTTTTTATGATGCCATCAGCAGCTAAACTGGATTAATGTTGAATGGTAGGATGACAAATTGGAAATTTTTTTTGGAGGAAGCAGTCATGGCCCATTTGAGGTACTATCCCAGAACTGGTCTCTAGGGACTGCAAGGAACTATGAAAATCCTGTCAGGACAGCCAGTGTCCCAGTCAAGATACAAACTGAGCACCTCTTGTAATTTCTAGTCTGTCACAAGTCTGAATATGCATACAGTACCAAAACAAACAATACTGACAATGACGAGTTCTCTCTTCTTAGATATAACCCTGGGTAGTCCACTGAAAGTCAGTCAACATTTTGGAGAGCATCACACCCATCCTCAGGGTCCAAGAATAAGCAGAGGAAGAAACTAGACGCCTGCTTCATGCTGGTTTCTTGCTTGGCTTATTTGTCGACCCTGAGGATGAACATGAAATGTTCCTCTGAAATATCAGTTGACTTTAAATTGACTACATGGAGTTATAATCCACAAGATAGAACTCTTCATAATCAGTGTTGTGAGAACTGCAAATCCTAACAGTTAACCATGGCTATGTGTTTCATTAGAACATTATAGTAGTATGTATGATAACATATAGCAAGTCTGTATTAGCATTGCAGGTATGTTGCAAAGTGATGATCTGAATAAATAAATCTATGTTTTCAGCAAGGCTCACTTTCAGAACTGTGTAAGTCCGAATTAATGTCTACTGGTACCACAATTTACAAAATTCAAGTGCCCTCCCTCAAAAAAACTCCTATCTTGCAAGCAGTATCAGCTTCAATACAAAACTATATCCAACTTACATGCTATTCCATATCCAAATTGAAAGCATAAATGAAAAACAAAAACATGTATTATCTGTACAGCTATTAACATATTAACCTTTATCGGACGGGCCATTTAATTTCCGGTAGGGGCAGCTGGACGGAGTTTATTTAAATGCCCGCCCTTCTAGGGCAATGAAATTGTAAGCATGTTTCTAAAAATGGTGTGATTTCTACATTTTTTATGATAAACGAACAAAATGAACGCTCCTTTAATGTAGAGAGAATATAGAATCAGATATTCTAATTTACAGATTTTAATATCTGTAAAAATTTTTTACACTGATTCCCAAAAAAAAAATTTCCCGAAATTCATACATTTTCTGCACCATGCGTTCTAGCAGTGTAATACATTTTCTGCACCATGCGTTTTAGCAGTGTAGGTCCTTGTGGTGACTTCACATTCAATGATGTCTCTTGTTGACGCTTATTTATCGTATGGGACATTTCGGTATGCACGACTGTATGCGTCTGAAATCACTCTCTGTGTAATGTTTTAAAAAGATATGGGAGTTAATTCTTGGAATATGGTGTTGCCAGATCAGTCATTCGTTCATTCATTGCAGTCAAACCATTGTGTTTGTAATGATTTTGAAACATCGCAATATAAGTTTAGCCACCCATGACATCATGAAGTAGATATTGGATTCAGCCAAGTCGTGAATGAGATTTTTGTATGTGTGGGCTCGACGTTAAGATTTATAGCTTCTTATCGTGGTCTAAGCACAGAGATTCATGCTAGAGAGCCGTATACATGACGTCGTCGTATGGAAGATACTGAAATTGAGAAACAGCTGTTCAATGACACAGATTCGGACTGCTATTGAACCGATTCTGAGAGGGGCGAGCAAAGTTGGAGTTCTGATTCCGCGGACGAAGGGTCATCACCTTCGTCGGCAACTTGGGGACCGCCAGATCAGTGTGGCTAGAGAGGTGTGAATAATTATTCCGGTGTAGCTGCGGGGATAAATATCACTGCAGCTCGACATCACTGGCCTGCTTCCTCTAAATCGCAACTGAGGTGTCGTGTGTGCTCTTCGCGTGGGAAGCGGTCTAGCGTTCGTACGAAGTGCGTGAGCTGCGACGTCGGACTCTGCATTTCGGAATGTTTTCGGCAGTACCATACGAAGGCCACATTACCATAGATGACGCAGGAGGGAAGGCTGTTTCCTCATGAAGATGGTGAACATATATCACGTAAGTAGAGCAAAAATTTAATTTTAAATTTAATTTAAAAAAAATCTTTACACGCGTGCAATGCGCGAAATCATATGAGGTCGTTCGGCCATATGACGTCGGTAGATTACATTAGATCACGCAGGAGGGAAGGCTGTCACCTTATAAAGGTTGTGACCAAAAATTATGTAAATAGAAGAACAATTTATATTTTAAATTTAATTTTAAAAAAATCTTTACACGCGTGGAATGCGCGACATCATATGATGTCGTTCTTCAATTTGTCCTTACTTTTAACGTCATATGACGTCCCTAGATTACATTAGATCATGCAGGAACGAAGGCTGTCTCCTTATAAAGGTGGTGACCAAAAATCATGTAAATAGAACAACAATTTATATTTTTAATATAATATTAAAAAAAACCTTACACGCGTGGAATCTGCGACATCATATGATGACGTTCGTCCAATAAAGGTTAATAAGACAAAATGTTTAACACTTTGTCAGAATTGGTCAGTCTTTCTGAAACTGCCAACAAATATGACCAAAACCATGTTCCCCACATATAATGACATCAGCTATTAATTTAAATTAATATTTACTTAACACATGTCCAAGACTTCACTGAAGCACCAATATATCACTATCATTACATCACTCTGAAAAACAATCACATGTCTTAGTCTTATTATATCAACCCATCATCATCATCATTTATTTACATTCCATAAATCCACTACATATAGGATAAGGAATTAGTCATTGATAATACAAATAACACTACATAGAAATAATAATATAAATAACAATATAAGACATTCAATACCATAATCACAGTTGATTATTGGAGTCAAATTTACAATCAAAGTATTCTTCCAAAGAATAAAACGAGTTCATCAACA